AAATGAACAAATGAGTTCATTCTACATCAGTGAGTACGTGTTTGTTGATATTGACCAGTGCTTGATTATCCACCCGAAAATTGTCAAAACCAGAAGCGATCCTCAAAAGCAAAATAATTAAATTAATTTTGAGCAAAATGTTTATTTTGAATATTATCGACCCCAGAGTCTTAAAGCTCGATATTATAATAAATTCAGCATGAGGCAATAATTTGCCATAGATCTATAAAAACCATACGACACGTTCTTCAGCGCTATATTTGTGTAAAATGAAAATAATCATTTTGCATTTGATCCTCAAAATCATCCCCTCAAAGATGAAAACGAATATTAATATGGACACAAAACAGGCGATAATAAACATCCAGCCACGAATGAAGAAAAACAAATGTTGTCTTTGATACTCAGATATTGCCTTGATCAGATAATGTTGTTATGTAAAAATTCAAATTCATGTAGGTAGTTGGTCTATCTGTTATGGTAGTCTTCATTTTCAGCTAAGTTGAGTGTAGAATAAATGATTTTTATCATCACTGGTACTGATAGCATTGTGGCACAAATTTGATCTAAAAAAACCGCAAAAGTCGACCTTTCGGATTTGTTTAGAGTCCAAATTTGTTCAATGATTAGATAGAAAAAATGTTTTTACACTTAAATCTTTTCAATAATCTAAGGAAAAAACTGATATTTTTTATATTGGATGTGGACTGTTTTAAACTAGTTTTCCGATAGAATTAAAACACGCCGTGGATATTTTCTCACTTTGTCTTTATTTTTTAATAATCAGTTGTTTCTTTTATACAAAAAAAGACATTTATTTTTTATCTTCTTCTCTTCTTCTTTCTGTTTGCATTCTTCAATGGTTATCATGTACCCATAATACTTATTCATTTCGAAAATTTCGCGCGATTTTTTTGTTTTTGTTCTTCTTGCAATTTGCGAAATTTGCTCTTTCAACAACTCTCTGTTACGTTTCCTTCCCTTCGCTCTCGCCTCTTTTGGTATTTTAACTTGTATTGGGTTGCATTGGTTAGTTTTACATAGCTTGTGTTATTTCGTTACATGTTACGTTTTCTTTTATGTTTTCACTTGACTTGCTCTGCTCCTTATTCGTTTCTTTCTTTCTCTCCTTCTAGCAATTATTAGTTTCCTAGCTGCTAAATAATGTATTCCTCTTGTTTGTTTGTGTGTTTTGTTTGCGTCTTCTTAAATCATGTTTTTTTTTTTGTTTGTTAAATTTGTGGTTATGTGTTATATCTTGCTTGCGTTTGCTTTTGCTTTCCGGCTCACTAGACCGTCGTACTAAAGTTCTTGCTTTAGTTTTACCATTGTGTCTTTTGGACAACGGTGGAAATGCGGATTTTCCGGAACAAGCAATTCATGCTCGAGTCGCATCGTGTCGGTTCGTCGTGGGTTGATGGTGGTTGATGAGGTTTGCCCTTGCCCTCTGTCTGCTGTGTTCGTGTTCGCTCATTCGGTTGGTTAGTTGGCATTCGTTGGGGATTGTGAGTCGATTCTACAAAATGAATGTCACTTGCTGCGTAGAATTGGAAAGTTCCTAGATGCTGTTTTATTATTACGTTCGACTAGATTTCAACTTATTTTTTTAATCTTCTGGAGATGATGGAACTAGGTAAATCATGGTGATGTATGGAAGGATTGTATAAAGTTTTCGTTAATTTACTTCAAAAGACATGCTTTCGATCCACAACGTTGTGGTTCTCCGGGTTGCATACTTTTGCGCTGCTAAACCGGCAGACTAACTAAGTGACAGTACGCAGCCAGATCATAAAAAGAAATGTGTGAAATTCTGGTGCATATCTTTAGGCGCAAGTAGCCTTCTTAGCTTTATCGAAGACAACATATCAAGAGGACTTACGACTTTCCCGTTTTCTCATACGGCTCTTATGAGACAGACACATTTAGCTCCGAAAGGTTTTTTAAGCAGTGATTCCTACCTCACAAAAGAGGATTGCGTATAGTATCCACCCGCTCATCCGACATTCAATAATCCGGACCCCATTAATCCGGAAAGAGTCGGATTAAAAATAATATAAACGCATTGTGCCATCAATTTTCAGATTCAGGCTGATGCAAATTTTGAAATTTTCACTCCACAGTGTTCAAACGGCTCCAAATTAGGTTCTGATTACCTTTCCAAAATTTGAACTCATTTACCCGAGCAGGAAGGAATATCTCGATACCGTAAATTGGTATGGATGAGCCTGACATAATAGGTAAAATATCAAAAAATAATACCAAAAAAAATGTTCTCACAATACCATCCCAATACCAAATTTTGCAAATGCAATACCAAAACAATACCACACAGGTATTCTTTTAGTATCCACATATCAAGTTCTGTTATTTACAAAGTATTTTGCATGCAATTTTTTGGTATTAATCTTTGGAATTTTACCTCTCATGTCATGCTGATTAATCAAATTTGGGTATCAGATCGCAATTAGGTATTCATAAGTTATTTTCTCCTGCTCGGGTAGTAATAAACTGACTTGGCACAAACTATTTCAAGTTTATATGCAAATAACTATGGGAAAACCAAATGTTTTGTTCATATATATTAGACCTGTTCATTTTAACAGAAATGTTCGTGATGCACCGGGTCAACCGTGATTACTGTTCGTCATGTTAATTTAAACTTCTGTGCAAATTTTCAGCAAAATTAGTGATGATTTAGAGGCCTTCAAGTTAATTTTATGTTCTAAAGGTAATTGACGGCTTATAATATTTGTATCTCGAGACTGAAACAACCAAAACTGCTGGTAGATAATCAAAAGCAAACCTTAATCTGTTATCTACCAACTTTGTGACCAAAGGTTGACTATTCAAAGTGATTTTATTGAAGTTTGACTTAGTTTCATGCTCGAAGATAAGCACTTAGAAATACCTAATTTTACACTTGACGGAATCCATCTTGGACATAAAGTATGAGACGTAACATTTGAAAACGGCGCAAAAGCCATTTGTAAACAAATGGTTTGTGGGCCCTTTACTCGCTACCCGAAGAACGCCAATGTGTAGTCTACGGCATAATGTTTCTTATACTGTTCTAGAAATTTCGTTCATACATAGTTTTCGTGTAGTTCCATAGACTGAGAGATAAAAATCAGAAAATAGGTCGTTATAGCTAAAATTTACAAAACAACAGAGCCAATGAAAGTTTTAATTAGATTGACAGAACATAGTTGCACTGCTTTTCAATGACGACCGATGACTGTTTCATTGATAGATGATTTTTTTAGAAATATGAATCCTCAGAAGATGTGTTTTTTCTCAAAGGCAAGTGTCACTCGAGCCATCCAAAATGTTCGTTACTTTATAAATTGCTGTTATTGTTCGATCAAACGTAAGCAATCAAAGCTATTAATGATTCCAGTCACTGATGTCTTATGATGATGCTCAATCAACCGTTCAGCAGGCAACATTGGTGTTTCTGGGGCGTATAATACAGCTCAGAAATCTGCTACTATATCGGCTACTATGTCACACTGCAGAATACAGTGTTGCGCACAAAACAGCTGCTTGATCATGCCATAAGATGAACAATCTCTTAAACATTTAATGACTAATAAATTAGACGTTTGACTGAAAAGCGACACTCCGCAAACTTGTAGTTGAGTAAATTTCCCATAATAATAGCTAAAGAACTTTTTAACAGCGTAATATGAAAAAAGAAGACAATTAAGAAAAAGTTTGATTATCCCATAATAATTTCCATCTAAACTTGAAATGGTTTGTGCCAAGTATAAGCTTCTTACCAAATGAACTAAAACTTTGGGAAGCTAATCAGAACCTGATTTGGAACCGTTTGAGCACTGTGGACTGAAAATTTCAAATTGTGCATCTAGTAAGCATGCTGTTTGTTTATTTTGATTTTTTAGTATGGATTTCACAGTCGGATTAGTATGAACCCGATAGTCCAGACATGATTAATTCGGATAAACAGGGGGATACTGTGCTTGCTCGTTTTTCTTTGCAATCCTTGGACGCGCAGCGCTACTGTATTTGTCGCTTGGGTTCTGACTAAGTCGCTAGTCTTATTAATATGGTGTCTTCGGCTTTAGTGTAAAACAAAACATAATAATGCGCAAAACAAATTTAAAAATGTCATAGTTTTTCCTTGATTTTACTGGTCAGCTAAATCAATTCAAGACGGCAACGTTGTGGAAAGTGAATCGGCCAAGGGGGGATGGGGATTTTGAAAACAATAAAACTCATAAAACATTCATATAAAAATCATTTATCTATATTTTGACTATTTCTCGTTTTATACTATATAATCAAAAATGAAAATAAATTGAACAAAGAAAAGGGGAAAAAAACAGAAGAAAAGGGGATTTTTATACAAAGAAACCTAAACAAATAATAAATCACTTCACAATTTTGTTCTGTATCCGACGAGATTTTCTGATGCCAAATGGATTTTTGGGGGAAAATATTAAAGTACTGTTCAAATTTGGCGTGGGTGTCTTCCTCTTCTGGTGCTTGTGTGTATTGTGTGTATGTGCTTTAAGATTGCATTCTTTCAGTGGCTGATTCGATTGTTGAGGTCGGTTTCATTTATGGCAACTAAATATTCCAGTTAACAATAAATTAATAACACGATTACTGCCCTTCTCTAATGCGCATTGTACGGAGGAAGATCGACCCGGAAAAGAAACTTGCTTGTGTGTAGCTGCCAAAAAAGGTTAATAAAATTTTGTTTGCTTTCTACTGAAGAGAGGAGAATTCCTACAGATGAAGGATTCATTCAAGTTATTCTCATTTATGTAGTCAGATTTTAGTCGGTAGTTGTTTCCTTCTTCCGTCGCGTCGTTCCTTGTTTGTAGGATTGCAGTCGGTAGTGTGCTCTTCAAAAATAAGAGCTCTATCCACAGTGTGGTACAGTGCTACTCTTGCACTGAGAGAAGGTGGCTTACACGACTAAACTCTAGATTACGCCTTGATTTCCGAATTCCGATTGTTCAGTTTTTGTGTTCCATATAATCAAAATATTCTGTGATTTTCTCCTACTAGTTCGATAGTTGTTTTTTTTTTTATTATTCGTATTCCCTATAGTGCTAGAATAGTCCCACATTGACTGAGCCTCTCGCATACTCATCCATCGCTCACTCTTAGTTGCTCGCTTTCGTTCTCTCTCGCGGATTGGAAAATAAGAGCCCTATCTGATGCTCGATCAAAGTAAACTCGCTCACTCGCACGATCGCTATGTTATCAAACGCTTAAGAAACTATGATTTCAACGTCATTCTCTTAATTTCCCACCTTTTCTATTAATCACTCGGCCACTTAACTCACTCACTCGTCGCCTTTCTCATGCATCTCATACTTTCTTATTTGATCCTTATAAACTTTTAATTTTATGCAATCTAAATTTAAATCACTTCAAATAATAAAAAAAAAATCACACGGATTCCATATTTCATGTCTTGTTCTTGTTGCTTGTGTTTCTTGCTTCTTGCTGTTGTCTCCTTTGTTCAATCTGTTTCATGAACCAACAGATAATCGAATAGGTCATTTCGACGATCGATACCTGAGCTCATGAGCGAGATGTTTGCTTCTGTCCTTTCAGTTCTGATCGTTCCGTTACGACAAATGGAACTTAATAAATAGTACTTGTTCTGGCCTGTTTCCTACATAACTTTCATTTTCCATTGACGATTGTGACGTTCTCCTTTGTCAGTTCAATTATGGGTTTTCGTTTTCTTTGTCAAAATCTTGGAAGAACAGATCATCCTCAGCACGGCTTTGGACGATAAATGCAGAAAGGGGTGTAGCATTTCGTTTCAGTGTAGTTTGACAATTGTTCTTATGTCGTGTCATTTCATATTTCTGTTTGTTCATCAGTTCATGGGATCCTTTGTTTTTTTTTTTCTTCTGGCGCCTTTAGGTATACTATACAGATTAAAAGCTTAATAAAACAGAACACATTTTGATTTCCACCGTTTTGTGTTTTTTCTTTTCTTTTAATGTTGCGTATTGGTTTACATACTTGAAGAGGGAAGGGTGGGGCAGGGACAAAAAATTGGGTGTAAAGGGGGAAGTCAGCCATTTTCCTCTCTTATATTTTTTACAATTGCTAAAATCAAAAAAGTGCTGGCGCCTTTTGATTTCGATTCGTCTATCTTACAAGTTTGCTTCCATTCTTTTTACAGCTTTTTAAAAGTGAAAATATTTTTTGCCTTTTTTCATATATTTTTCTCCAATATATATACTTAGTTTTCTGTTATTTTGCATCTGTAGTTTTTACTGTTTTCTCCTAAAGTTACTATTTCCTTAGATTTTACTTATCGCAGAGTCCGTATTATTAAAAAAAAAAAATGTGAGATTGTGGGGAAAATCAAATCCCTATTCGCACAGAGTTTGTGTCAGTTACTTGCAAAACAAAAGACCTATCGTTTCCTCTATCCTGTAAACTCAGATAGAACTGTCCCTAAAACGTAAATCGATTTCTACTGATGCCGAGTAGCCCCAAGAAGAAAATTAAATCATTAAACCCTAATATCGGTTCGTTCTTGTCCATGTCTTCATCTTCGTGTTCTATCATCGTTCTTCCTTGATCAGTTAATCCAGCGGCGGAGGATGAGGAGGTGGAGGAAATTAATATCTAGCCAATAATTATAATAATAAGCGATAATAATTATTATTAAATAATTAAAAGTCGGCTTTTGGGTTGTCTATTATCTTCGATCCCGGTACAGCAGATAGGTTTTCATCGACTGTGGCAGCTGGAGCTGTTCGATGCGCTCCTCCAGGTGCGTCCGGCCGATTTTCTGGCGGATGACACGCCGGCACAGGTCCATCAGTGGCAGTGGTTCGGCTAAAAGAAAAAGAAAACGAATGCGGTTAGTAGAAGCAGTCAAGAAACGAATAACTCGATCAATAACGCACGAAAAGTTTGACATTTGAGGGAATATCGATGGGTCATTAAGTCAAATGCGTCACTAGAACATTGTATTAGTCGTCGGCCAAGGGGGAATCAACTCTGCACACCTCAATCTGTGCCGATAGTTTTCGCTGTGCCGAAGCGTGTCAATCAAGTATCCCATGAGTTTGGCAACCCTGAAGATTTTATGACTTTTGTGATCGTTTATTTGTGGTTGTGCTAGAAAACGAAGCGTGATAAACATAAATTTATGTTTGCAGCCTAAAATCACTGCTGGAGCACGAAAATTTCACCAAATAAAATCTGTTCCAAGAAGACTGATTGTAGCCCTGGTGCATACCGGTTTCTTAACTATACTCCGTCGGATGGATTCCGGAAAGCTGGATGTGGTTCTTCATCCGTGGCGTTGACTATAGAACAGTACAACAACAATAACAACTGCGAGGTGGAGGTGGAACTGTTCAATCGGCTGCAAGCGGAGGACGACTACATGAAGATTAGCAGGGATTTTGAAAAAAAAGTTTGTCAATTTCCTCGAGGTGAACAACTTTGAGCTGTCGAAGTGATTCCTATTGTATGCCAAGGGGAAGGTTCGAATGGGTTAAGGATCGAATTTAGGTTGTTGAAATGTATTCAGGTAAACCTTGATGTAACGTAACTGCACACCAAAAAATTCTGAATTTTACTGGCGATGTAAACATACATGCATGCAAACATTCATACATGTAATCTTCCTTTTCACATAAACTAGCAGCTTGCAAGAAATGTTGCAAACAAAAGTGGACAGTTGCATACAATATATGGAATACTACGTGACATGTTTCATAAATTTACACGATCTATAATCTAAACTTGTATGATATATGACGCTACATCTATGTGCATCATAGTAACGGAAATTTACACTACTTTTTTTAACTGAGTGTCACTTTTGACTTCCATCACTGATTTCTAGCTAACAACAGTTTTTTTTTTCTTAGATTCCATAATGGCGTCAGACATCGATTTTCGGCCCCTACACGTAACCTTCGTTCCGTCAAACCCAAATATATGGAATTTAACACTTTTTCTGAAATCTATGGCTGCCATATTGGATTTCAAAATGGAATTGGACATCGATTTTTGGCCTTCATAATTCGTTCCCGATCCGAAAATACGCTATTGTATTTCTGAGCCGATGGCCGCCATATTGGATTCGAAGATTGTGTAGGACACTGATTTTCGGTCCCGACGCGTCGACTTCGTTCTAAAAAAAACATATATTGTATAGTTTTTGACACTTTGTTTTAACAAGATGGCCGACATCTTGGATTTCTTCATGGCGTCGGACATCGATTTTCGGCCTTTACGCATCCCCTTCCAAAAATTCACATATTGTAGAGTGTTAGCAGTTCCACAGCCGCAGACAGTATATAAGCAAGTTAACCGCACACTTCTGTGCATGTAGATTTGAAGAAATACTTCAAGTGTCCTCATCCATTCATGGTAAAGAAGTACAACTTCTATTCTTTTTTTCATACTGCCGTACTTTTTCAAACGAAGTGCAAAGCAGCTCTGAATGAAGTCCCGAAAAGATCTGAAAGGCTTCTTTTCAAAACTTTAATTCTCGCGTAACATTTTGAAAAGGGCCTATCCTCATTGATCGATTCTCTTCATCGACTTTATCTTTGGTTAACTATCGGCAACATAAACAAATTTCTCGCTAAGCTTGCAGCACAGTTCGACAGAAGATGAAACAGCACACTGAATGGGACATTCATTTGCAGTTGGGTTATTCTCGAAAGAGAAAATCGATGAAGAGAATCGATCGACAATGATAGGCCCTTTTCTCGTGTTTCGCGTGAATTATAAAGGTTTAAATGGAGGTTGAAAAATTAAGCAATGTTTATTTACAAAGATTATCACATCGCTTCAAATAAAAGTAGGAATTCGACAGCGAGCGTTCATAAAGTCCTAATTGCAATGATCGATTTTCTCTTTGTTAATAACTCGCTTGGATTAACATTTCTCGGTGCATTTGCTGTTGCTTTTGATAGCCAATACAACCTGTTTCCACAAACGAAGTGACAGACGACATACTGGGGAAGAAATCAATTAAAATAATGTGGTTCGCTGCAATAGAATTTTCTTAGAAGCTTGTGCCATCAGCCACCAGATGGGCTAGTATTTTTTGTTTTAATTTGAACATAGTTGATTTTGTGTGCAATATGATCTTTGACAGTGTGCAAAGAGTGTATCATTTTGTAATTTTTTTTATGCATTTCAGTTTAGAGTAGAGTGAAAGAGATAGAACCAAAACATTCTAGTACATTTAGTGTTGCCATGTGGTACAATCCAGTAGTAGTGATGTTGCCATGTGGTACATTGAAAAATTGCAATAGTAGGTGCGTCACCAAAGTTTTCGAGCCTCTCCGTCTGTCACTTCGTTTGTGCTGTTACTCCACTGCATTTAACAAATTTCAGAAAATTGCTTCCCTTAGCTGTTGAAATTTAAAGAGAAAATCGAACGAAAGGGAATGTCGACGAAGAGAATCGATCAATGTTACTTAGGACCTAATGTAATGCTCAGATTGATGTAGCCGTAACAATCAAACCCAACCTTGATACCCGATCCAGGTTGACACTGAATAATAATGGGGTGTTTACATCTGTGCGGATTTGCTAGCGCTAGTGTACTCGTCAACTAGCACGAATATCAGTTGCTCGTGAAATCTCATGCTGGTAGACGCTGATGTTTACATTATGCTGGTGAGCGTTTTTGCTAGCAGCGAGCTAATTAGCGAGCCTAGTGAACTAGCCTAAGTGTAAACACCACATAAACGAATTCGCTATAAAACTGCTGAAAATTTGCTCCAAATATGAAGACACAAACAGCAAACCTTCGTTACATTACAGTCCTCGATATCGAATAACAAAAACATGAAAACTGTCCCAAAAATCAAGGTTGATGTGAGGTGGGAATGGTGAAAGCAAAACTCAATTTCAGCTGAATTAAATCCAAGAAAATTAGCTTTCAAAATATGATTGAACCAATTACACCGTCCTCCGCTCATCGGATGTAGTAGTCCTTGCCAGGAGAATGGCAATGATCGTTTTACGGATCGCGCCCAGCAGGAGTTTCTTGACGCCCTTTTGTTTACATTGAATCCAATAATCCGAAACTGGAGCCAGAAAAAAAAAAAAACGAAAGTAGGTTCTCAAAATAAGCAAAAAGATAGTTGCCTGACCACCCAAAATAAATCCACCAAGCGAAGAAAAAAGTGATTGTACACGAAGGAAACAAACAATGCTGAATCGATTGCATTTTTGACGGAATCGATTACCACCACCAATCGAAGGAAATCTTAACCTTGGTGGCGCGAAGGCGAAGGTTCAGCCGGTAAACGACGATGCCGAAATAATAAAAGTGGAAAAAGTTGTCCGGTCCGGTCTGTTTTTCGGGGATGTTTTGACGCACCCAAGTACAGTCACTCTCGTTGTTTGTTTTTGAATGTACGCCAAGTGGCGCCAAAGGATAGTGCTTTGCATATATATGTCAAACTTTGCGCGGTTTTGTTTTCGGCGGGGAAAATACTTACGATCGAGGCCACCGATGTACTTCATGGTGATTTCGCAGTGCCCCCAGACGGCGGACACGATCGGGTAGAGCTTTCGTCCCTTCAGCCCCCGGAATGCCACCCCCAGATACTGGCCATCGACGATGAAACTGAGCGTTCCTTCGTCCATGTCTAACGCTACTAGGAATTTGTCCGGCACTAGGAAGGTTTCGTCTGGCTTAAGTATCGCGGGGTACGTGACGCCGGGGCAGGTTTTCGAGTTGTGGTACAGCATATTGCGCCCCAGGTCCCAGCCCCAGCTCTGGTCGTTCGAGCCGACCAGACTTTGATAACCTACGGAGTGGAGTGGTGCCTCGGAGGTGGCAACACCGATCACAGCATGTGTACCTCGCTGCCGCGTCGACCAGAACACTTCCCACACGTGCAGACCCTTGGTGAAGCCGACCTTGCCTCGTATGCAGTCTGTGCTCTGTGCCACCGGGTGCCGATGGAATGTCATCTTGTCGTCCTCCTTCACGAACACATTCAGCGAGCGGTCCTCCGAATTCCAGGAGTATTTGATCTGTGTTTCCCGGGCGGCCGGGGGCATATCGAGCAGGAGATCGAGACGGGCTGGCCGCTGGAAGTGCGCTGCCAGTTCACGGGGAATCTTCGGAATGAATTGCGATGGTTGGTCGCGGCTGCTGACCGTTTTGACACCTCCACTGATCTTTTGGCCCATGTTCATACCAGGGTGAACGCTGCTGCTGGTACGACTGCTGCGGGTGCTTCGGATGGCAACCTTGTATGAGACTCGAATGCGCTCAAACTCGCGGGGATCGATACGGTTTAGCACCACACGGGGCAACAGTGTGGAGGTGGATGACGATATACTCTGTGGACGGCGGCGTTCGCTTGACCTTAGCACCGGACCCCGGCTACTTTTGTATCTGTGGAGTAGAGGGAAGAGAGATAGAACTCGGTTAGAACGGTAGAAGCCAATCGTTACCTATATGGGTTTATTGGAAGCGGAGAAGTAAGAGGCATTATCCTTTTAGGGAAGCAGTTGTCAATCAAAACACAACTTTGCACACTGCGTGACTAATTGGCGGGTGGTAGAGTTACCAGATGAGTAAGAATCAGTTTCTGATGGGATTGGAGTTCAGAGTGTCAGCAAATGTGTTCCGATCAAATATTGACAAATACAAGTTTGAATTGGCCACCGTAGTGCTGCTGAAATCACCGAAAAACCGACATGACACGTAATTCTGACTTAATCCCGAAAATAGTAAGGTGATACTCTAAGGAAGCCTCAGCGTGAAACTTCAAAGGCACAAATGTCAGCTTCCACAAAACATACAAATTTGAAATTGCTGCTCTCTGTTTGTAGAAGCACAGCAAACAAGGAGTAGCAATTTCAAATTTGTATGTTCTGTGGAAGCTGACATTTGTGCCTTTGAAGTTTCACACTAAGGCTTCCTTAGAGTATCACAGTGATCGGAATTGTCATTCCCGTGAACACGGAGCCAGATGTCATAAGTGTGCTTTGGTAAGAAATTTTATTGTTTTTGCTATGGTCATTCATGTCGGTTTATGGGTGCTGAAATCGCAGTGGTGATGAGTTCGAAATTCAATCTGAAAACATTTTAGAAATTGTGACCAAAAAACTATAATTTTCTATTAATTTTAGCTGGTTTCTGTGAAGTCAACACATGATCCGAGCAAAAAGTAGTACTCTCAATAATGGTGTGTAATGTGCTTTATTTCGAAAATATCTTCCAAATAAACAAACATCATCCTAACCACCCGTCAATTGACTAAATATAATTAAATTCAATCGGCGTATTAATCAAAAGATTAAATTGTTTTTCGCCTATTGATACACTGAGCAATCGGGCAATTTAATAGTTTTTTGTCGATGGCAGCGTTGCCAGATATACCGATATATCGGTATTTGAATACTGTTCATTCCTCAGCATACCGGTTTTTGAGATTTTTTACCGATTAATACTGATTTTTTTTTAATAATCAAAATGATTATTACCTACCCGCGCTCACATGCCACAAGATCTTTGCCCAATCCACTAAAGAAAAAAAACATAGGTTTTATGGTACTTTTGAAGTAAATTTTATTATGTTTTCACTTAAATTTAAGTAAGTTTCTTCGTAGCATCATCCATTGTTACGAATATTAAAATTATTTTTCGAGATAATAAAAATTGTATTGTTCAGGAAGTTGATAATATATTCCTATTAAAAAAATACCGTAAACGAACGATAACCCGCATAATATAACTATTCCTCAAATGGTTTGGATGATACCCAACACGAACAGAAAATTGTTTGCATTGAACCAAAAAAAAAAAACTTTAGTTGTATTTAAACAAACAATTCCGGTTGAAATTATATTGCATTTTGTTGTTTCGATAATACTTAGTCATATAAATTCAAAATAGGCTTCTTTTTGTTTTAATAAGTCACTTTTCAACTGCAACTATTGTAAAAATAACAATATTCTATTATTAAACCAACAATAATTAATGCCATGACTGCAAAAATAACTACCAATCATTCCCTCGTTTTCACCCGGACAAAAATGTAAACAATAACTTGTGGATTTCGGGAAATAAGTTCATAGTTTCCGAAAATCTTGATACTTGAGGTAAGTAAGTATGCTGCAGAACGAGCTGCAGTTGCTAAATAAAATCAATTTTCTGTTTTTTTCTTTAATTTTTTTTCCGTCGATCTTGTTTTCCGTGCTGGACCCTATATATCGACCCATGAACTAATGAACCGGGGACCAACGGCTTTACTTCCCTTCCGAAGGATGATCAGTGAAAAAGAAAACAATACATAAAAAAAAATTTACCATATTATTTCCGAAGTGATTTGAGATTTGTGCGTAATTGCATTTGTAAACAAACACGTCAATCACCGATTTCTCGCGAATAAAAGCTCAATCTCGAAAAGTAATAACACTATGAGGTAGAGGAATGATTCCTCTATCATTTGGTATAGTTTGTTCGTGAGATTGAGCTTTTACTCGAGAGAAATCAGTAATTGACATGTTTGTTTACAAAAGCAACTACGCCCAAATCTCAAATCACTCCGGATATTTGAATCAATAAACATATTTTTATTTCTACTGCGTGAATTGTCAGCCTTCATAAAATAAATATGATTGAATCAACAAGAAATCTTCTTTCAAAACAAATATATTTTTGTTGTTGACCCAGCTGCCAAATTTGACAGCTTACGTCAACACCATGAAAGCTCTTGTAAATTCGAAAAGATTTTTGTTAAAATCCATGGGTTTTGAGGAACAAAAATACGGGATTTTTGAAACAATAATGATTTCTTTTTGCAGCCAAAACAAAATGAAATTCTTATTGATTTTACGTCTAATATTATTACGTTTAAAATATTTTTTTCTGCGTGAAACACGTCTTTAAGAAAAATAACCATAACTATTTTATTAGGGATGTCTTATGTATTCCAGCAACTTCCGGCCAGCTGCACTTCATCTGCCAATCTTTCGGGTGAGATCATTCCTAGTCTGTCCATTCCTCGTTCTAAAACCATACCATAAATAAATAGTGTATCATGACAAAAATAAAACATCATACTTATCAGAAAATTCAACAAAGCCAATGGTATTTGTGAATGCATCAACAACTCGTCAGCAATGCACCGTTTGGACGCAATCACCACTCAGAAATTTTCAAACTATAAATTTATGTAGAATCTTAATGAAATTATCTTACATGAAATTCATTTGAAACTTATATATATATTCATCTATGTTTCCAAGCGTATTACATTGCTTTTCATACGATTTGTAATAAATTTTATCAGCGTCATGAACTTTACAGGCAATTTTCAATATCTGAAGGTTACGTGTTTTTTCCAATGAAATTTATGTGACAAATTTTTTGAGTGTTGAGTGGTATTTATTTCATGCTACACTGAAGGGAAACATCCGCGATACTTCGAATGAATATTGCATTGCTCGAACCCTTTAACAATATGCTTTCGAATTTCGGATGATTTCCTTATGGTTGAATTCAAGCATAACTTTTCAAAAGGACGTATGTTATTGGCGTTTGATAGAAAATCAGAAACATCGATAGCATGATTAGTAAATTCTTTTTAAAAGTTAATGCACGTTTCTAAATCTGTTTCTACTATTATTTCAATAAAGGGATGACGTTTAAAATATTTATGAAAAATGTTGAATTTTCGCAAACATGAACAAGACTTTTGATAAAACAAAATGATACACCTTTTCCTTGTGTGCTACTCACATACATACACTTGATTGATTCGTCAGTATCATACCTTGATTGTTACATACACCCTGCATGATTCGTCGATTTGGCAGATCGGTTTTCACATGCGTCAGATCAGATACACCGGTTTTTGTTTTGCAGTGAATATACGTCGGTTGGTTGGTTTATTTACATAACTAACCAGAATTGTGAAATAATCCATGTTAAAAGCGGAGATGGGAGAGTCATCGCATCATGTGTTGTCAAACGTTATACGTTTTGTGTTTTTCGTGTTAAGAAAGCGCTGGTCTGAATGGGATGTGAAGTCCAATATTGAAGTGCTATGTTATTAGAATAACATTAACATGTTGCTCCCGAAAATACAAAAACAAACATTTCAAAACTATTTTTGCAGGATTCAAACGAAGACTTCACCGAAGTCGGATGTAATACTACAGGATCAAACCTACAACAAGTATCGGGTTGCCACGAAGCAGCATCATCAGAACGGAAAGAAGATAATGGGAAGAGCAGAAATCGATGATGATGCACGTTTAAATCTTGGCTTGGGGACAATCCTTCTTGCGAAACGGTTTCCACTTCTTCAATACATCCGACGCAGGGAATATGTGCAGAAGCAAACTGTTGTAGCTATGCAAGCTGGGAGGCTGCATCTTGAAAATACCTAGCAGTAGCTGAATCCCGTTAAAATCCATTATGTATCAACTTAAAAACAGCTTGACGCATCTGCTGATTGAAAACGATTGCTTTGCTTTTTTCACATATGACGTGCCACTGCGAGCGTATCGGAAGTTTTTGTGTCATCATCACATTTTGACAGTTAAGTCATGTTGACAATAAAAGGGTGTATCAAAACCATTTTAAAAACAATAAAAGAAGACCACATAGGGCATTAATTATGTATGTTTTCCATAATGCATTAAAATTTCAAACATTGTTTATCATTAACTCGTAGGAAAAGCAACTATTTTAAAATCGGTTAGAGACAAAACATCGATTTGTTTATTTTTGCAACTTACGTCCTTTTGATAAGTTACGCTAGAATTCGTCATGAACTGATGAGCATCCATATGACTATCATCCAAATAAAGGATGAAATTTATTTTAAGATTTACTGTAAAACATGCAGCGCTCAGAGCACAACAATTTAGCAATAGGGGGAGTGGCAAATGCTTTAGATGAGATTTATAATTCGATTGTTTGCATTTCCATATTGAATAGCCATGAGCAGTCATTCCACCATGTATACAAAAATTGTTTGTTTTGTAAAGTAAATTTCTTCCACCACGAAATAGACCAATGTTCGTACCACACAGATAAACATTCTGAATTTTAAATGTGATGTAAACATTCATTCGCGTAAACTTGTATTTCATTTCTGTGCACCTCTGATAGCGATGACTATGTTTCCACCTCATTTGACAGCTCAGATCAGCAAATGACGTTCGATAGAATTATTTACATCATTGTTTTAGATGATTTGCGTTATGGGGCTGAACGAATACCATATGCATTTCAATTTGGGATGACAATCATTCTACAGATAGCATGACGCATTTCAACTGAGTCATCCGGTTTAGCTATCATTCGAAGAAGCGATTTCGATGTTTCGGTTTGCATGGTCTGAGGTTTCACTCGAACAGGGGATGATGTTTTGGTAC